AGAAAAACGGTCACTGTTGTAGGTATACCCACGCTTTTTATCCAAATACACGATTGCTGGCATTATTTCTGTTTAAAGTTTAGCTCACTGACAGCTGCTTTTTAAAAACACTTCTGCGTCCTGGTAACTATTCAATCAAGCATGTTCCGGTCAGTGTCAACCAACCAGAAAAGTAACACTGAAAAGATCTTGAAAGAAGCAGGGGGTGGTGGGTACAAGGAGAGAATTGTCAAGTGAGTATCTGAGGCAGCTCTGTGAGACAACCACAATGAGGAGAGGGGGGAAAAGGCGACTTCTCAGATCACTTTTATTCTTTTGGATTGTTTTGTAGATGAAAAGCATACATGTGCAGTTCTGCTGAAGTAAAAATCTTAACAGTGGTTTTAAGTATTTGCTTAACTCAATAGCTTTCATAGCTTCCAAAATTAGTATCAGAAAGGTAGATGTGAATGTGGATTTCTTTAGTTCTCATGATGCACAGAAGCTCCTTTATGCTGTGGTCTTTTCAGCCATGTGATTAAAAGGTAGTTAATACTAATCTAAACATCAATGTATCTTAACACCTTGTGGTCAGAGCTGAAGCTATCTCCCTGCCCACCAGCAGCACGGGCCAACTCAGCTGACAGGCCATGGGCTGTTTTTGCAGGAACTGAGCCGGAGCTGGACTCCCCTGGGCACCAGGCAGAGGCCCACGCTGCTGTGGGACGGCACCACATGGGAGGCAGAGCATGACTGATGTATGTGGTGGTGCTGACAAGGAAGGGAGTGGGCCGGGAGTACCTTACAGATTTTTCCACTTTTTTTTTTTTTTTTCTTCTAGAATTGGCAAGACCCTGGGGTTGTCTTTTACCCAGGATACCCTTGTAATTCAGTAAACTAACTTCAGACTAATAATTCTTTCAGTAGCTGTGTGCTCAGTGAACTGCTTCTGCAACCAATGAGAGCCCAAAGGACGGCAGAGCTGGCTGATGAGGCATTTGTAACCTGCTATGGCTGTCTGATTAAAGATCCAGGACTGGAATTAAGCTAAACTAGATATATTGTGCAGATCCTTACTTTACAAAGCTGGGAACATTTGCACAGACTTGAGAGGTCTTGAGTAGAACCCAGCGTGATTCTGCCTACACCTGCAACATTTCTGACAGAATGTGTCTTGGTGGTGGTCTGTGAGCGAAAGGAGAGTGGTGTGCATTTATCTTGGGAAAGCTTGCAGCTGGTATGGGTGTGGAACCCTTACAGTGGCAAAGTGACCGTCCTCCCGTGGCCTGGGCTGGTTTTTGGGAAGCACAAAGGTGAATTTCTGCAGGAGGGTGGTAAAGAAAATAAAGAGCTCCATCCTGGCCAGCTGTTCCCCAAGGCAGACACGACGACCTGCAAGAGAGGGAGTAGAAAGTGTCTGTGAGAGAGGACATAAAACCATGCTGGAATCACCACCAGGGGAGCAGATCAACCCTCCTGACTTGCAGCTGGATCCTTCCTCAGATTTACCTGCTGAGAAAGGCAGGAAGGCCTCTGATTTCACAAACTGCCCGCTGGCATCCAGGAAGTGTTCAGGGTAAAACTCGTTTGGCTTCTTCCAGACTGTCTCATCCTTCAGCACGGAAGACAAGTTGGGGATGATTGTTGTCCCCTGCACTCCGCCACAAGAGGAAACAACTTATGTGAGAACAGCAGCATTATCTTGGTACAGCGGATCAGTGGTGGTCCCTCTTTGGTCCGTCTCTCCTGTCTAATAGCAACCATCATTCAGTGCTTCAGAATAAGGCACCGATCTCCTATTCTGTATCTTACTTAAGCCAGAGGTAAAGCAAGGCTCTTTTCCAGTGACATGTGGTGCTCTGAAGCACCTGAACTTTTGCAATTTGTATCCTGACAAAGGGCTTTGCATGCAAATGCCAATTTGCTATCAGTGCTGCCAGAGCAGCTGCCTCTCACAATGGCAGTGGACTGAATGCTAGCAGCATTTGAATAGCTTCAGAGAAAGCCAGTAAGCTGGTGTCAGGGACCTCCAGAGAGCCCGCTAGGCTCTGTTACTTTCCAGCACAGGCAGGGCAGCGGATGTTACAGCTCATCAAGGGGAAAGCAGACCTTTGCACTGAGCTGCCACTGCAGTTGGGTTCCCACATAACCAACACAAACCTAGAGCACAAATATGATCGTCTGCATGGTCTTAGCATTTCAAAATGTCCTACTTCAGTGCTCATCAGTGACTGCGATTTGGGGCTGGAAGTGCAACGCTGCAGAGTTGCATGGGGTCACCTGCACCCCAGGCCTGGTGTCTGCACACGGAGAGGATGCTGCATTGCCTGTCTGGCCACGGTCACCTTGGGAATGAAGAAGCCTTGCAGCTCGGTGTCCCGGTACGTCATGTGAGAAATCTGCATAGCGTTGCACTTCGTGTATCACAGCATTGGTGTAGGGCATGCACTCTTGGTCCTCCATGGTGGGTGGTCTCTCTCTGCCAATCACCTTGTCAATCTCTGCTTGGACCTTACCTGAAAGCAGCACAGGTAGGGAATTAGAGTGCCTTTAGATAAACAGAAGGGGCTGGTACAAGCTGTAGGAAGGCTGTCAGTCTGAGATTGTAGACACTGGGTGAGAGCAGGACAAGCAGTTAGAGAAAGGAACAGAAACTAGAGGGGACTGCATTTGTTTTCAGTTGCTCAGAGCCATCTGTATAACTCTTCTTTGTGCATAGTGTCTTTAATAAAGACTTTGTCACTTGACATGCTACCTTACACTTCCTCTCTGCAGCTGAAAGGGTACCTGGGCATGCAGCATTAGAGAGGTAGAACAGAGCAGCATCTCTTCCAAATACTGTAAAGAGAGTATTCTGGCCACTGAAAGTCCCCAAGTAGCCTTCAAATTGAAGGCAAGAGCGAACTTGCCCTTCCAACTCCAGTCTTTTTATCAGGGCTTTCCCTCTGCCACCACTCCCTGCCAGAACAGCTATGTTTGGGAAGTGTTTCTCCTTGTTTCTGATAGACCAACAATTACCAGACCTGTTTGTCATTGCAAAATCCCCAAACCATGGAGAGAAATGTGCAGTCTCCTTGCAGGAAAATGAGGGTTGAAGGGAAGACACCACACCTCTGCCTGTCTTTTGACTTACTCTGTATTTTCGGGTAGAGAATCATGTACAGAAGTGCCCACCGAAGAGTGGTGGAGGTGGTCTCGGAACCAGCTAGAAACAAGTCTGCGGTCACCAAACGAAGGCTTTTATAGTTGAAACTGCTGTCTTCAACCTCCTTACTCTGGAGAGAGCAAAAAAGTGGGTGATTGGAGATGGGGTACTTGCTGAGCAAGACCATTGTTCCAGAGAAGTACTGAGAAGCACTAGATCCATTTTTGCTGACCAAGAAGTTCACTGGGAGAGTAGAGCACAACACAGGCAACGATCTGTGTATTACTGATTTATTCTGGTTACCTTCTTACCTCCTGTATTTGAAGGACATCAGTTACTTCCTGTATCCTGAGAGATGAACGCTACACCTGCATTTAGGACAGAAGCGAACGCCTTGTGCTCTCAACTCAGACAGCAGACCCCTGCCACTTGCCATAACATCCTCCCCCAGAGGAGGCTGAACACAGTTATTCAGGTTTGATCAGATCACAAAACCCACGCAGCAGAGAGGAGGCTGCTTTGATGTGGCAAATGCAAAATTAACAGTATTTTTAGGGGGTTATCTATAGCTATGCACTACAGATACTCACTGCTTCTGCCCTGATATTTTCTTACAATTAAAAAAAAAAAATCAGGGTACCATTGCTGCCTATTAAATCTGGAACACCAATTTCCCCAATTTCCAATAAAAGATCTCTGGTAAGGGAGCTACAGGGCTGACCTGACCAAAGTCAGCCCAGTAGAGAGATTTATCAGACTGGTTTTTCAGGAGATCTTAGTGAACAGTGGAGAGATGTGACAAGAGGGAACATGGTCAGGCTCACATCCATCCCCAAATACTATTGCTCAGTGCAGAGTAACATAGGTCACGTCGCTCTGCCTGTGCAAGCTGGGGGGGCTGGCTACCGCATGGACTGGAGGTGCATGGTGCCCGCAGGACAGCAGGGCTTGTTATGCAGAGCAGCACTCCAGCCTGAGCACTTGAATGGCGGAAGCAAATCACAGGCTGAATTTGCTACTATTGCTCATCTGGCACTTGAAATTTACTGAATCCATGTGCAGAAACATATGGTGGATGGCTGGGCTGATGCAAGTACCTTTGATTTTATACTGACTTCATGCCTCACTGAATCAAAGGAAAGACTCGTTTTAATTTCGGTGAGGTTCAGATTTTGGCCTTCATCTGATCTGTAAGGAACTAGTTCTCAGCAGCAATTCAAAGATACACATCTTGAAGGAGATGCCATCTTTCCAAGTCATAACTTGTTTTAAAGGCGGGCTGCCGATTGGGCAATTGTACCAAAAAGCCAGTCTGTTGCTGCTGTTTTGTAGCACAGACAAACCCAGAATTCTGCATGTTGACTTGTCCCCTGGCACAAACTTAGAAATATTAGTGACGTCTCAATTATTGCCTTTTGAATGCCTTCAAAATAGTGTAGGCTGGAAAAGAAGGGAACTGCTGCACAGTGAAACAGAAGATAGCAAACAGGGACAAGAACATGAGCAGATAATATGGTATCTTAAGACAGTAAAGAAAAACACAGCATGAAGAACACCTTTCTTCTCCAAGATACAACATGGAATTAAAAAGTATGACATCAGTTAGTAAAGGGTTTTGTACAGCTTTATGAGGAAACTCAGCTTCTGTCAACAAGCTTAAACAGGCAGAGGCCCTACCTTTTCCATTTGTTTCAAAAACTCATCAGTGAAATCTCGGACGTAAGCAGGGTTCCAGGTCTTCATGTGCTTATCTATGTGCGAGTCTATGAAGTCCATGAACTTCATTTGCCCTCCAAAGACTGCCTGTTGCACTCCAGGGATGCGCAACAAAATGGGCAACTCATTAAGAAGCTGGGATGTCAGAACCAGAGAGAGAGTGGGAAGATATTGTGTGATTGAAAAACAAAAATAATGAAAACACAATGCTCTCAAGCAACAAAGGGCAGCTTCTTATAGGACGTATTACGCTCTTGGTTTACCTGAGGCAGGAATCCGATCTCTTCATTTAAGAATTTTTCAAACAAACATAACAGTTTCTTGAATGTCTCATCACCGTAGCTGAAACGGGATCCATAGACAATGCTGCAGATCACGTTGCAGACTGCATTTTTTACAGAAAACTGTAAATCGAAAGGACGACCTAAAAATGGAAATGGAGACCAAGCAATGAAGCTAAGCAACACCAAGCTGTTGGACCTCAGCTGTCAGCAGCAAGAATACACAAATGCCTCCTTGATGCCTTCAAGAGAAAAAGCCCCCAAACCACTCACAGTACAAATGTATCACACTAGGTAGTGAAGGTCTTCTCATGTCCTACTACTGTTTGGTTGATCCTTGTTTAAAGGAGAAAACTCCCAAGAAAAGCTGAGTTGCAGGGCTGTTCTGGGACTTGACAGATATCACTTTGCTTTGTGTCTAGATGACAGGCGATGTGCTGTGAAAACTGTCAGCTGCACTTTTATTGCATGTGATTATCAATATGTTCCAGTAAACTTCATAAAGGTAATGGTTACCCAGCTCTGGGAATAATGATCTTTTACCTCTGTATTTCTATTTTATTTCCTATTTGTTTCCTGTTTCAAATGTATCAATGTTACAGTAGCCCCGCTGTGTAAAGTAGAGGTGATTTCAAGGTAGACCCAGGTCACTAGTGCATACAGACTAGAAACGTTGCATTTGCTTAGGAAGAGAGCACTGCAGGCAAACAAGAGTGGCTGAGTATTACTTCTCACTCTGCATCACTGTATCAGCTTATTCTATGATTTCCACATCCTTCTGGATGTGACAAACCTTCTTCAGAATTGATTACGGAGCACAGAAATCCAGCTTCCTCCGTCACTCGCTCCTCCAAGGATTTCTTTCCCATCCCAAAGTTCCTCAAGGTAGAGAGCGAGAATTTCCTTAGCTCTTTCCAGGCGTGTCCATATCTTGCGTCAATAACCCCTGGAGTTATGGAAGAGCAAGAAATGTCAGGAGCTCTCACCCGTACATCCAGCAAAGTTCACTAGAGAATAGCAAATGTGAGTTTGGGGGTACAGTTCTCTGTGGACAGATTAAAGAGTCAGATCTGGTACAGCTTGTTCATACAGCAATTCTAAAAAGGGATTATGGCACCTTCTAATGCATGTGCATGGCTAGCGAGGGTGGAGGGGAGATTCAATGAGAGCAACAAGTGCTGCTGAGGATAGAGGAATCATTCCCCAAGCCATTCAGCATTGCTTCCTCCTTAGCTTGTGTGAACTGGGTAGCAGCTTGTGCCACCACAAAGGAGCTGAGGATGAGAGATGTGGGCTGGATAATACTTTGTCTAGGAAGAAAGTTACCATTTTTTTTGTGATGACAACGACATGCACATAGTTTGTCAGCATAAGCACTAATCACTGGGTGTCGGGAGCTACCAGCTCCAACACTGGCAGGAAAGTTGTACCATTTGTAGTGTCCTAACACTGCCAAAGAGCGTGTGCTAGCACCTGGAGCTGTACTACAACCACTAAGGGAAGCCCCCTTTTCATCAAATCTGATTTTGTCACTATCAAAGGGTGGCAGACGTACAAGGAGATTGACCAGAGGGGCATGAGAAGGTGGTGCCATACTGAGAAAATCTTCCGTCTACCCACCAACTACCCAGTCCTTCTTGTGCTAGTGCCAGGGGGGAATGTCCATTTCCAAAGGACTTGCCTTGATGTTTCTCTCCGTAGCCCAGATGTTCATACATTGGTTTGTAAGGCCGGTCAGCAAAGTCCTCTGATTTATGGACCAGTGCTTCCTTCACTGTTTTATACCCATTCAGTACTACCACGTCAGTCCAGCAGTTCTGGAGATGGAAGATGTTTCCAAACTTCTTCTGAAGCTGCCAAGATAAAAATTATGTCCCTGAAAATAACCTGAATGTAACATCAAAAATCTCACCATATCCTTCCTTAGGGCCTTTACTATTTAATGATTTTTAGTTGCTTTTATTAGGAAAGCTGCAGCTGATCTTTGACCTTTGTCTTTGTAGTGCAACAGCTCAGAACAATGCCAAACAGCAGCTGAAGCAGGGATCAGTTCTCTGTGAGTGGAAAGATTTAGAATACATCCACCCTGGCCAAACTGTTGCCATGACCGTTGTGCAAGCCCAGTTCCTAGAAACATAGTCAGAAGAGGCAAGTCCACCCTGGAGTTTTAGGTCAACTATCTCCCTAAGAGGAGCATACACATCTAGTAAGAATGTCAACTGGCACACACCCAACATCTGTTGTGATATATAAGAGACATAATGCCGACAGCAGGATGGCTGCACAGGTAAGCCAGACAGCCATACACTCACTGTGGGAGCTTGCTGTGGAGCTACCTCTCCTCTAGGTAGACAAGCCCCTGACTGGACATAGACTCCTGGGAAGGCAGTTGAAAGCTTCCCTGCTGGTCAGTAACACTGAACAAAGTGCTCAGGAGCATGTTGTTGGAAGACAGTGCAATAGCAGCAACGCCCCACATACTGTGTGCTGTGTTTTCTTTTTTTCTGTCTGATTTTTTTGTTGTTGTTAGAAAGGTAAGTGTCTTCTGCACTGTAGCAATGCAAGGAATTGAAATACTTATGACTGTATTTGCAGTGGGGTTGGAAAAGGAGTTAGTGCTTCACTGGCACTAGAAATACATCATTGAAAGCGATTACTGGTCAAGACTGTGGTTAGCATGACCCTGGTTTGTTGCGATTTGAAAATGGTAATCTTTTGGACTATATGTAAGCAAATAATACAAATGCTATATTTAGTTTCTCCATTTGGCAGATTTTGGACAGACAGCTGAACAGTGCTGTCCTAGAGAAAAGGCAAGGAAGAGTTTGCAAACTGAAGCACAAAAGCCCCGTGGTTTATCTGCTACAAGCTGTGCTGTACTTTTCCTTTGAGAAAAGCTAAGCCCTGACTTTGAACAGGAATGCTACTGAGATTTTGGGCATTGCTGCTGGGGCAAACCCTGCAAGCTGATCTCTTTCACTGAAACTGTCCCATGCCTGTAGGTGTGCTTAAGTAACTCTCAGGGAAGCCTGTCGTTCCTGTAGCCACATCCCCTGCCCACAGATATTTGCTTTTTCTCCCATGTTTGTACATCTCCCTGTTCCCTTGCCCCCAACCCTGCCCATGTGTTAAGTTGGTGGCCAGCTCTACAACAGAGCAAGCATCACCCATCATTTGGGGCACAACAGCATCTCCCATGGAGCTCACACAGAGACTGGGAGATGGAGGCTGGTCAGCGTCAGTGTGTGTATGAGCCAGGTCGGTGTCCTTAGAATCACAGAATCATAGAATGACCTGGGTTGAAAAGGACCTTAAAGATGATCTAGTTTCAACCCCCCTGCTGTGGGCAGGGTTGCCAACCACGAGAGCAGGCTGCCCAGGGCCCCTTCCAGCCTGGCCCTGAATGCCTCCAGGGATGGGGCATCCACAGCTTCTCTGGGCAACCTGTTCCAGTGCCTCACCACCCTCTGCGTGAAAAAGTTCTGCTTAACATCCAACCTAAATCTCCCCTTTCTTAGTATAAAACCTTCCCCCTCGTCCTGTCACTATCAACCCCTGTAAACAGTCGCTCCCTCTCCAGTTTATAGGCTCCCTTCAAGTACTGGAAGGCCACAATGAGGTCTCCCCGGAGCCTTCTCTTCTCCAAGCTAAACAAGCCCAGTTCCCTCAACCTTTCTTCACAGGAGAGGTGCTCCAGCCCTCTGATCATCTTAGTGGTCCTCCTCTGCACCCGCTCCAAGAGCTCCACGTCTTTCTTGTGCTGGGGCCCCAGGCTTAGACCCGGTACTCCAGATGGGGTCTCACAAGAGCGGAGGGGGGGAATCACCTCCCTCTCCCTGCTGCCACCCCTTTTTTAATGCAGCCCAGGACATAGTTGGCCTCCCGAGCTGCAAGCCCACACTGCTGGCTCATGTCCAGCTTCTTGTCCACCAGGACCCCCAAGTCCTTCTCCTCAGGGCTGCTCTCACAGCAGTGCTCTGAGGCAGTGACTTGCTTCATCCTGACTGTGGCACTGCCCTTCGGCTTTGTGCAAGGGTAAATTGCGCCAGGGCATCCCCGCCCTCTGGGCCCATGATCAATTGTGTGAGGGGCGCTTCGTCATGGGGGCTAGCACTCACCTGTTTGAAGGAGAGGTGGGGGTTTCGGAAGTCAACAGACAGCATGGTCCCAATGAACGGCAGTGAAACTGGACCTGGTGGGTAACGGCTCCACTTCTTCCTGCGCTTCATGAAGTCAAGAAGTAAAGTAAAGACTGTAAGAAAAATTCCCAGTACAG